GGAATCTGGGCACCCAGTTAGTAGGAAATTAGGAACAGAGCAGTTTGCATTTTGGAGACTGGCCTTGTCAAAAGTGTGGGTTTGGGGACGTCTTTTACTTGTTCGTCTCTGTTCTTTCATTACTATCCCCTAGTTCCTAAGGGGTTCCGGGTAAGTGGTTGAAAACAGATTTGTCAAAGGATAAATCTGTCATGAATTTCTATTCACCAACTCTGCATAGGCTGGCATTTTGTTTTCCTGTTGCAGGTTAAAGGTACAAGAAAAAAAATTTTTGTGTTTGCTCCAGAGAAAGATTTTGCAATTTATTATCATGTGCCTTTGTGGTTTATTTTGAGCTTTTGGAAGGACATAGCAATTTTTCTGAGTCTCAAAAGAATTAAATTTTTTTTTTCTGAACTTTTTATGTGCTTTTGATAAGTTTCATTGGGTTGGGTTATTTCATTTCTAATCTATTTTCAACTAATTATGTTCTAATTCTTTGGTAAGGTTTTCATAATTTAACAAGTTCTATCTGTAGCTCTTAAGGGATTTGTCCAAAAGCAAATGGGTTAAATATAAACGTTCTAGTACACAACTGATAACCTTGGTATACCGTGTGATCTTATGACGTACTAGTACTTTTTTAAAAGAAGTTTTGTCCACTTTCCACATGATGTTTATTTAAAAATTACAAATAGTTTGAACAGGTAATGTATACACATGGTTTAAAATTCTAAAAGGACAGAAGGATACAGTAGAAAGTTCTTCCTTTGTCTCCCAAAGGAAACTATTATTCCCATTGTCTTGGGTTTTCTCCAAGTGATCTATGCACATCTAAGTATTAATATCTACATAGACTTTTTTCCATTTTTATTTTTTAAACCTTAAAATTCATACTTAGCTTGGGCAACATAGCAAGATCCCATCTTTTATAAAAAATTAGCTGGGTATGGTTATGTGCACCTGTGGTCCCATCTACTAGGGAGGCTGAGGCAGGAGGCTCTGTCAAGCCCAGGAGTTCGAGGCTGCTGTGAGTTATGACCACACCACTGTACTCCAGCCTGGGTGACCCTGTCTCTAAAAATACATAAAATTCATTTTTGACCAGCAATGCCTACTTTACGTACCTATTAAGCCAATTTTCTACCATTAAAAAAAAAAACCCTATAGTAAATTTATAGCAAAGCAGTTTTCATAAAGCTTTCTTAAAGAAAAAGCTTCCTATAGGAATAGCACTATTTGGAGGGGATGTATCTAGAAAGAACACTGATTTCATATGAAAACAAAAGTGAACAATATTTTTCTAAACAACTTCTCATTAGGCACTTTAATAATACTTTTGAATGTCAAAGAACACACTCGTGAGTCTGAATCATTTAGTGTGTAGACTCCCAAATAAAAAACTTTCCTAAAGAAAAACAATAATCCCATTACTCTCAGGCAGTGAGGTCCAGAACACCAACTTACGATTTTATTAACTCAGGTTCAGGTGTTTATCACGCACTCAGCACAGAATTGTGGCACTGAAGGGCAAGATATTTTACATTTATATTTTATAGTGTATCCCTTTCTGTCCTTTAAAAAACTTAAATCATGTGTATGCATTATCTATTCAAACTACTTTGAATTAAAAAAATAAAGATAATGTGGAAAGTGTACGAGACTTTTAAAAAAAAAAGTGTTAGTACCTTACAAGATCAGAGTATACTAAAGCTATCAGTTGTAAACTACAACGTTCATATTTAACAAACTTGTTTTTGGACAAAACCCTTAAGAGCTAGAGATAGAACTTTGAGACAAAACTGACTTAGATGATAAAGAACCCGATTACACTCTAAGATTGGTATCCTGAAATCATTATTGAAACAAGAGAATAGTACATCCTATAGTGAGTCACTGAAGACAAGTTTTCCTGTATCTCTAACACAACCATATATATTAAAAAGTGTTTTTAAACCGAAACACACATAAAGCAAGCTCATATATTGGTCAGCTGCGGAATGCTGTGCCCAGAGGCTCGCAGGAACCCGACCAGCCTAACCCTGCATCTCCCCCAGGAACAACGGTTCAACAGGCACCGACTCAGCGTTGGTGGCGACTTCACAGACCATAACTGATGCGTACGGTGAGAACTGACTGTGGATATACTGGATATATGGTCTGATCTACGCAAGACGTGGTAGGAATCCTTCCCATTTTGAACTGGGAAGTCGAAACAGCATGGCTCTACTTTGAATTTTCCAAGTTTCTACAGCTTTTTCACCAATTGCTACCAACTTAAGCCAAGTGATGTCTTCCATCTTTTGTGTCTCTTATTTTCCATAGGTGTATCATCATGCCTTTCCTCAAATATAAAATTCCATCTATATTCTAGATAGACAGAACTGCCCATCCTTCTTGAGAGTTACATGTTTCCAAATCTCCACCCATCGGATCAGAGATGCCTGTTTTACTAGCAGAGCAGAAGCTCTGATTGGCTGCTGTGAGTGACATAGTTACATAAATAAATTTGTGTTGCAGATTTAAAAAACTAAATGTTATTAAACAATATTTCACCTGTTGCAAACATCAAACTTAACTTCTATCATCATCAACTTTTTCTACACAGAAACCCAACGCGCAACCTCTCCCTGTTGACTATGCTATTTGCTGGTCAACCTGAAGCTTCTAGTGTTTCCAGTTCCCTCTGCGGAACATTCTACGCCACTTATCAGAAGGTTCTTTCTTATTTGCTACTCTGGATGATTCTCATCTAAAATACTCCAGTTTTCCTTTTGTTGTTTGGAAAGGGAAACTATATTTTATTTTAACAAAACTCAAAAGAACGGTGATTTTCTGTAAAAAGCCGTTTCCTCTAAACAGAAAAAGGCCCGGCAAACAAAAAATTCTGCTATGAAGATTATAACATTCAGATCAACCGGGTTCTCCGTGCAAAGTGGTTCAGCGACTCGATCACTCTCTAAGAGCAAAACAGAGGTAACAACAGAACAGAAAGAAGGAATCAGTTTATCAAAACTACGTTAAGGGCAATGACCGTAATTATTTAGATGGAAAAAAGTTACATTATTTGTAGAAAATGAGTGCGGAAAAACAGGTTTCAAGATCATTTAGTCCAATTTTCTTCACCCAGATAAGGAAACTGAAGCCCAGAAGTTAGGCAACTTACCTGGGGTGAGAGTTAAGCTAAATGAATGCTTTTGCCTCTGTTTCTATCCATATAAACCCTGCTGTCCATATAAACACTAGAAATTCATTGGGATCAAGGAGGGTGCACTCTATAACCAAGAGACACAGAAACACGCCTCTTGGTTTACCTTCCAGTTTCTGGGCAAAACATTGTGTGAATGCAGTAATGAAGCCATCTAGAGTGAGGACAGGAAAGACAGCAATATCTTGCTTATCCACATTCCATAAATGTCCATGTTAAATTTGGTGTCAAATCCACACAACGGAGCAAAGTAAGAAGACACAGATTACGTGCTTAACAAGCATTTGTTTTTGGCGGTGTTGGTGGGGAACACGGGCGATGCAGAGCCAGTCCCTGGCTTTTCCGTACCACAAGGAGAAGAGAAAGTTGTGGGGAAATGTGTGACGTTAGAGTTATTTAAGGCTATTCAGAAATTTGGCATGTTCTTCTCCTCTTGGTAACAAAGTTTCTCCTCCTATCTTTGGACCAGTCTTTTCCTGGAAAAATGAAAATATTAAGAAAAGAAATGGTTCAGCATCATTTGCATGGGTCGCTAAAATTAGTCACAAATTCGTATGCGAATGACGTACCTTTAGCATCCCGTCCCGCTCCCACTTGTAGAGGCCACAATTACTG